CCACCACCACGTCTTTGGATTGTGGGAGGAAACTAAAGGCAAACTCGGGGAGGACATGCGAACTCCACGCAGACAGCACAGCAGCCCAGGTCTGGAATTGAACCCGGGGCCCCGGCGCTGTTCCGCCATGCCCCCCCCGGACTGGATCGATTAAATGGAAGCTGAGATGATCTTTCATGGTGGTGTCCAGCCCGGTAACACAACAGAAACAGACGAACGTCGGCAACAAAGAATTCAGGAGGGCAGCGTTTGAGCAGATAAGAGCCCAGCAGCAGCCTTGCTCGGGAACGAGACTGTAGAGGGGGACGAAGGTCCTCCTGAGTCTAGTGGCACAAAGGCGGCTCCCCTGGTTCTCAGTGGAGAGGGGGAGCCCGACTCTCCCTCATGCTCTGAGCACCCCTTACAAACCCCTCCCATCTGCAGGGGGGGGGGGGGGCAGTTAGGTTGGTCTGATTCGCACCAATGATTTTGCCCCTGATCCACACTCATTTCCCTCCCGATGTTGCCAAAGCCAGCAAGGTTCAGTAAACCAGTTGCAGAAAAGCACTGAAATACTCCTGCCTTGACGAAGCAGACTTCCCCGTACCGGGAGTCTGGGTGCCAGCAGTCCTGCCTGGTTTTCTGTAACGGTGAGAGGAGGGGATAAAATGAGCTGTCCAGCCCAGCCCGTTATCAGCGCTGCAGCAGGAGGGGGGACACGAGGGTACCCCCGTATCCTACTGCCCATCCCGAAAGTAAATAAAAACTCCCATTCGCACAGCAGCGGAGCAAGGCCGGAGCCCGACCACCCTGTCTCTCGGAATGAATGAGCTCTCCACGGTCACGCTCCCGAGGACAGTGGCCTCCAGCACACTGCTTCACCAGCGACCCAGAGCCGACGCTCACTGGAACCAACAGGGAAGGGGGAGGGGGTTCTTTACCCACAGGGTGGCAGGAGAGTGGAACAAGCTACCCGGCCAGGCTGGCGATGCCAACGCCGATAAACTGGCAACTTTCAAGAAACTTTAGGACGAGATCCACAGACAGATCATCTACTCACTACCCACGTGTGGATGTGCTGAGTAGCCTAGATTGTCACCTCCCGAACTTCTAGTTATCACAGCAAACCTCTCAGCGTAAAAAAAAAAAAAAAAAAAAAAAGACTTGTGAGGATCTTGGTGCTTTCGCACACGAATTCCCCACTCTCAATAGCCCGGACGAATGTGTTTCACAACGGGTTTTCCCAGAACTCGGCGCAACACAGTGTCCCAGCCCCGTACAGCCTAAAAAAAATCCGCACATTCACTGAACACCCCAGCTTTTCCAAAGCCGAGACCCCGTCTCCCGGGCCCCAGGGGAATGGAGCAGGAGCAGGAGCCGGGACCGTGACAGCGGGCGGCCCAGCTCGGGTCGGAACCGGCTCCACACGGCCAGTGAAGAGAGACGCTGTGCGTTTGTAAGCGCCGCCAAAGTCAGCCCGACAACTGCTTAAACTCAAGAAGCCGCAGAAACCGAATCCCCAAGCTAGATCTAGCAACAAACACAAAACCGCTCGTCCGCCCACAGGCATCGCCGAACACACCGCGCTGCCAAACCGTCTCAGAAAACGACAATTATTTCTCTTCATCCTTCAGAACCCCAAGTTAGGATAACGCACTGAAAGCATCCCCACATCCATAGCGTTCTCGTTATAAGGCCACTGTCGGTCCCACTACGAGGTAACCGAGCAGAAACACACAAAACAAAATCAGCGAAGCCGATACTGAATTGTTTACCTTTTGGTAAAGCCGAAAGGAGTGAGTTTTTAACGTTTTCAAGCAGCTCCTCGCTTGCGCCGCACTTACAACATCCGCTCTCGAGTCCCAGCACAACTTCCTGATCCCGCCAACCCCCTCCCCGCCCCGCCCCTTCCGCTTCCGGCGGCCCATCCCCATGGCAACAGGGCAAGTCGGGGTTTGGCGTCCGATGGTTCCCCCCTCCCCACTTTTATTAAACATCAACTGATGTAAACAAAAGAGAAAATATAAGAGAGAGAAAAAAAACACTCACGATACGCTGCCAGAGGGTAATTGCAAATTTCAACACAATAACTTGAAATGTTTATATACTTCAAGTGTGTTTTTTTGCCTTGTTTTTCACGTTTTTCCTGGAGCTTAAATAATAATGCATTTCTACCTTGTCAGTTTTAAAAGAGGGAGAACATTGGACCACTTTGTTTTGTGAATATGACATCTACACAGTATTACAAAGTACGGTAGCGGTGGTGGGGGTCTTCTACATTTAAAGTTTACACGTTGGCATTTACCGACGCAATCTAAGTTGTAATTAATGAGATTAACCTTCACCTTCGAATTACAAAACAGAAATAATAAAAATATATTTACTGTAATACTATGACCAGTCCATTTAAAATGTAAACAGTTGTTAACTGAACTCCTAGCTCAAGTCTTGATTCTTTAAATTTGTGAAGAATGTCTTATAATAAAATATTAGCTTATAATTATAGCCTTATTATTAAGATATGATTGTTGTTAATGTATAATGGGAAGATCATGCTTTAAGACAATTACCTTCTGAATGTGTAAAGACGTTTATATCTTATACCTTGCACTGAAAATGGAGCTCCATACGCTCTTAAGGAATAGTAATACAGTCCCCGCCTTAAGCCCTGTGTTTTTCAGGCGAGTTTGAGTCTGTTATGTCCCGGTCTCCTTAAAGACAAGCGTTTTACTGGCTGACGGATAAACCTGGAACGAATTAGCTGTGTTCGCAGTGCCTGGGGGGACAGGAGTTCGGTGCTGTACAGGAAGTTGAGGTGATCGCTGACGCACGCGTTCTCCGTTTCCGACGTGTGGAAGTTTGTGGGGGAAATTCGCTGTGCAGACGAGAAAAAACAGCTTTTTCAGACAAGACTTCACCGACGATCACATATGCACACGAGAAAAGAACGACCCAGCATTATTTTTCTTCAAGGTACACACACGGGGTGACATAGGCTGCCCGGAGGAGGGTGTCTTTGCTGGTTGTTTCTAGAAACATCCACACATTCCCTTCAAGAAAACAACTTTTTTTTAGCACGTTTTTGTAGTTATATCGAATAATCTGCGTTTCTCCGTGTTGTATATTGAGGCAAGCGGGAGTAATTCTCATCGATAGAAACCTTCACGATTCGGTTGTGTTTGACCGAAGTCCGTAGTCAGGACAGGCGGATCACTATCGGCCGTAAATTTCCCACAAAACGTAAGTAAAACACTTCGAAATACGTTTCTTATCAGGCTGAGGATGGGGCTATTGATAATGTGATCTTGAACACGAAAATGCAGGGGCTCGAATGTTTTCGGTCGTATTTGAACATTGCACACCTAGTTAACGGACTGATGTCTTCATTCTCTGTGGGTATTGAGAAATATTTGTGAGCGTCACAAACGGATTGTGTCTTCGCATTGACCGGGGGTCTCGGGGGAGCGTGTGCGTGGAAGCGGTCTCGGTGACCCATCCTCCCGTCTCCAGGCTCCAGTCCGGGTTTCGCCCACGCGGTACGCCTTCCCGAGCCACCACGGAGCCGCAGAGGCGCTCGCGATGTCGCAGGCCACCAAGCGCAAGCACGTGGTGCAGGAGGTGCTGGGAGACCACGTCACCCCGACCGGCCGCCAGCAGATCGTGAGGGTGAGGCGCCCGAGCACGTCAAGGATCTGTCAAGCGTCTGCTCATTGCAAGCCCATTATACCCATTAAGCTATTAGAGAGAGAGTCTTTAGTATTCATTTAGGACAAACAATGGAATCCATTTCTTTACACAGAGAGTTGCGGGGGTCGGGATATCATGTTCTTTGTCTCCGGCAGGTTCTGGGATCCCCTGGGAACAACCTCCATGAGGCAGAGACTGCGCAGGGGGAGCGATTCCTGGTCAGCATGCCCACCAAGTTCAGGAAGAACATCTGGATCAAGAGAGGTACCCATGTCTCTCTCCCCCTCTCCTCTGTGCTCCTGTCTCTCCCTCTCTCTCCCCCTCTCCTCTGTGCCTCTGTTTCTGCCTCTAGTGGGGCAGGTTATTGAGTCAAACGGATGATGAGCGAGTCAGCCTTTCAGTTGCTGTATCCTGTCGGTCAGGCAGGCTGCCAGACAGAAAGACAGGGAGTTCCTCACCATCTTTGAGTCTTTACCTCTCTCTCTTACCTCCATTTCACCTTCTCTACCTCTGTTTTTACTCCCTGCCTGTCCTTTTAAACTTTTTTTTTCCCCCCTTGGGGGAGGGCGGAAAAAACCTTTTAAGGTGAGAAGTGATGAAATATTGACAATGTTGTTCTTGGACTTTGTCCTCCGGTTTTTGACTTGTACTTCCTCTCTTCGCTCTCTCTCTCTCTCCCGCCAGGGGACTATCTGATTGTGGAGCCCATAGAGGAAGGGGAGAAGGTGAAAGGAGAGATCATCTTCATCCTGTACAAGGACCACATCCGACAGCTCAGGAAAGAGGGAGCCTGGTGAGACCCCCCCTCATTCCTCTGTTCCCTCCTCTTCTTCCTGCTTTTCCAGCTGTGGAGAGCAGGAGGCAGCTCTCGCACACGGGAGGAGCTGTTTGGCTCATCTAGTCCGTTTGGATTTGATCCGATTCCCCCCCCCCCGATTCTTCCTGAAACTCCTCTGCCGGCCGCATCTGCGGTGACTCCGCACGCTTCCGATCTGGGATCCTGGTCGCCTCCAGTTTTTCCGAACTGTGACCGCGGCCTAGACGCCTAGGGGGCATTGAATTCCCTCTGTCTTCTCCCTCTGTCCCGTCCCAGGCCCGCAGGATTCCCGGGAGAGGAGGCGCCGGGCGAGGAGCGAGCCGGCAGCGACGAGGGCAGGTGAGGGCCAGCTGCAGACGAGGGGTCCGGGGGGGGGCGCTCGAGGTGTTAAAGAGTCTTATTTGTGACGTGGGACCTGGTTGCCACAGAGTGGTCCCACCGTGTCGTCCTGGGGTCAGGCTGGGTCGGAACGGGTCAGGAGGCACCCCCCCGGGCAAATTAAAAGAGCCGTTGGACTTTCTGTTCCTCGGGCAGGGGCGGCGCAGAGGGACAGCGGGGGCGCGAGGAAGAGGAGGAGGAGGAGGAGGAGGAGGACGGGAGCACCGACTCAGAGGACGACGGAGACCTGTTCGTGAACACGAACCGGGTCAACTACCATTACAGCGAGAGCGAGGGCGACTCGGACTCCGAGGGAGCCGAGGAAGAGGAGGAGGACGGATCAGAGGGGAAGGACTGAGATATCCCTCACCATACCCCCCCCCTCCCAGACTCTCTCCCTCATCGACCCACCCCTCACACGGGGGGGGCAACTTTACTGTGCGGGCTGGTCCTGTGCCCAGCCCTGAACCCATACACACCCGTGACAGCACCCGGCACGAAAGAGAGCAGGCACAAACCCCCTCAGGGGCCTGGTGTGTGCTGTGCGCTGGAGTTGTGGGGAAAAACGCGAGGGGGTGTGGGCTCTGTGTGGAGGTGGTGGGGGGTGTAGATGGGGGGTGGGGGGTGGGGAGGAGCTCGTTTTCGAACGAGATTTGCTCTGCCGTTTCAGCGTACAGCAGACCAGGGCTCCTCACTCCTGCCACTGCGGATCCATAGGGGATCTTCTGGCTGTTGTTGACTTAATTGAATCAATTAGTGTCTTAATGAGTCTTGCGTTTCAGCCACTTCCATGTCTTTAAATCGTGGAGGGGTTAGAAGCCCTTATAAAAACCCTTCTATATATCGATATGGGCTGGGGACTCCAGGCCGAAGGGCCTGGATCTGCTGTGGTCCCCAGTGGAAGGAATTCAACCCTTCTCAGTCCCAGTTTCTCTGGCTTCTCTTCCACAGCTGCTCTAGTTCCATGACAACTAACAATTTTCCTTTTTTTTTTGGGCCTGCATAACTTTTTAGTTACAGGAATCTAGGGGGTGACCAACTGTGAAAAGACCCTATTTAAAATCCTAGATCTGTAACACCTAAAAACGTTGACTTGTGTTGGAACAGAAACCGTGAAACTGCCCTACTGTAATGATTGGGACAGCTGAACTAGAACTCTTGAGTGATGACCAATAATGCTTTGTAATAATTTCTGAAGTCCTCCCTGTGGAGACAGTGGATATGTACACTGCTGAAGCAATTCATTTTTTTTTTGTCTGTACCAGACAGCAAGTGTGTTTAATTAATAAAACATTTTTAAAGAGGTGCAAACTTTCCTGACTGAAAACTTTAGAAGAGTAATTGTATAAAAATATGTAATCCAACCTATTCTATCATCAACACGTGCTGATATTTACTTAGTGTAGGACAGGTGAGGGATATTTCTTTTTCAGTCTACTGAACACTCGTTCCAGTTGAGATCACCAGAACTGGAGGCCTGCTCTCTGGCTTTGAGTCACTCTGAACCGCCCCTTTCACAGGATGAGGAATACTGGAGTAAGAGTGGGATTAAGGCAGGAGTTCCCGAGCCTGCTCCTTGGTGACCCACACCCTCCTGCTGCTGCGTGTTCCAGCCCAGCCCACAGTTACACAGTCGAGCCCTTTATCGAGTTAATGATAACGAGACCTTTGTTCCCCAATCTTACACCTGTTGGAGCTGTAACTATTCCTCTGTCCTAAAGTCTAATTATTCCAACACGGCAACATCGTCGATGAAGTCGGGCTTCAGGTATCTACAGGAGGGAGTGAAGACCAGCAGGAGCAGGACTGGGAACAGCCCGATGAAGTGAACATGACTAGGAAAACCAGAGAGCACTCCGGGTTTGGTTCCAAACCATCCTCAAGTGACCCACTCTTGGAAGCAGCGGACTGGGCAGCTCAAAATCATTCATCGTCCCACAGTTGCAGAAACTGGGGATTCGGCAGGCCGTGGCCTCAGAGCTGGACTTGGGTTCGAGGCAGCCATTCCACAGGACCTGGCACTGCAGGACCAGAGCGCTGTGCGCTCCCACACCAGAATACGAACACACAAACTCCAGATCACGAAACCGCGGGCTGCAGCTGAAGGTGTTCCATCCCACCTGCCTCTTGACCGCTTCATGGAGCTTAACTGGACCCTCAGAACCGCAGCTCCCAGCGCTCCAGGTGCAGCTGATTTAAAGATTAAAGGGAGACCTGGCAGCCTGGCTGCCCTGCGACAGACTGCCGTCCCATCCAGGGTGTATCCTGCCTTGGACCTGTTGCTTGCTGGGATAGACCGCAGATTCCCCCTTTGACCCCCAATCTGGAAGAAGCGGTTCGAAGACGGCTGTATGGATTGGAAACCCTGCAGGCACAGCACCCTCTGCTGGACCACACTCAAAGGGCAGTGCAGTGTCCTCCACCCCACCCCTCCGCCCACTCTATCAGCATTAACTGCCTCCCCAAAAAAACACCACAAGGATTTCTGGTTCAGGGCATAAAAACAGACCTACAGGATATAATATATTGATAAAGAGAAAAATCCCATCATGTATGTACATATACAAACAGTGGAATAAAAGCAGGCTGGTCTGGGGCTCACACCAGTACATGACCACGGTTTTTTAAAGAACACTGCTCCCCACCACGGAAACATACTTTCACATCATTTCAACACTTCATCCCCAGTGCCTCACGTTTCTCATCTGTACCCATGGACACAGCAGAGTAGCCCTTGATTCTCTTGCCACAGAGAGGTCAAAGGAGTAAGACAGTCAGGGTGTGTCCATAGACAGACATTCGGGGACAGAAAGACTCTAGGAATTTTTTTTTGGTGGGGGGAGGGTGAACCAGCCGAGGTGCCGAAACAGAACAAGAGACGAGCGAATTGAAATCACGAGAGGAGCAGGAGGAGGCCAACAGGAACAGGACGGGGGCGGGATTGCTCTTGCTTCTTAAAAGGAGGGCAGGCGGGTCTCGCAGTCTTGTCCTGTGCCGCCCTCTCCGGAGAGGAAGAGCGGTCCTTCCTCTCTCTCTCCCAGCGAGCCAGTCCTCAGAGGGGCCCCCCGGCCCTCCCCCTGGGCTACTTCGTGATGGTGTTTCTGCAGAGGGGCAGAGAGAGAGAGGGAATGTCACTGAACGAGACAGTCTGGCGCTGATCTGCTCACAGGGGACCTTGTACAGGTCTTGAGCTCGGTGATGTACTGGGGACATGTAGCGACACCTTCTGCGATCTCGGACTGTCCATCGTGTAAAAAAAAAACCCCACATGCTGCCTAAAGAATTCAGACTGATGATGGATGAATCACTCTAAAATCGCTAGCAGTCTTTCCTGTGTCCACACAAATCTAAACTCACTCACCAGGTCTGGCAGTGTCCAGTTTCTATGGCCAGGCTGTGCAACCTGTCTATACATCAGGGCTCATCTCCTTAGAAAGGACTGGACATGGGCAAGAACTAACTGCCCAGAGAGGAAAAGGCTCAGTGACCACAGCCTTGCCATATAAACTGGACGCAGGTGGGGCTGGCTGCCCAGAGAGGACAGGCTCAGTGACCAGAGCCTGGCCAGAGAAACTGGACACAGGCGGGGCTGGCTGCCCAGAGGGGACAGGCTCAGTGACGGCAGCCGGAAGACACAGACAGGAGGAGATCAAGAGAGACAGAGGTGCAGGACAGGCCTTTAAAGACACACAGAACACTCACGCGTTCATGCTCTTCCCACTCCCACTCAGAACGATGTAGGGGGTCTTCTGGGATTTCTGCTTCTCCTGCAGCAGGGCCACGGTGCCCAGGGGGGTGTCACTGGAGCTCATCTTCTTCAGCAGCTGGAGGGGAGAGCGGAGAAGTGAGGGTTAACGGACGCGCTGGGGCAGGGCGGAGCGGGGCGGGGCTGGGGGACACTCCACAACTCACCGCCTCCTCCTCCAGCTTCTTCATCCTGCGCTCCGTCTTCATCTTCCCAGAGCCCTTGCCATGGAAACGGTGAGACAGCTGCCGGAACGCCTGGGGCACGGAGAGGGAAGAGAGACAGGGTCAGCGAGAGAGAGAGAAGAGGGGGACAGGGAGAAAGGAGGTGAGGAGAGACAGGGTCAGAGAGAGAGAGGAGAATAGAGATGGGGTCAGTGAGAGAGGGGAGGGGGACAGGGAGAGGAGGAGAGAGAGAGGAGAGACGGGGTCAGAGAGAGAGAGGAAGGAGACAGGGAGAGAGGAGAGAGACAGGGTCAGAGAGAGAGAGGAAGGAGACAGGGAGAGAAGAGAGGAGGAGAGAGACTGGGTCAGTGTGAAAGAGAGGAGGGGGACAGGGAGAAAGGAGTGGTAGATGTAGCAGTACCTCTTTAGGGGTGAGCTTGCGCCCCGTGTCGTCCACATACTCAATCTTGACGTCGGGTTTGTAGCCGTCCTTCTCCTTGAAGTCCTGGGTGAAGCCCCGGTACTCCTCCCTGCGGCTGTACTTGTCATCGATCGTCCTGGAGACGGGAGACACGAGGGACACCCAGCAGCAGGTCAGGGCGAGAGAGAGAGAGAGAGATCAGCAGGCAGAGAGGGCGGGGCAGGGCCAGGCCACGGAGAGACCGGCGCAGACCGACACTCACATCTTGTCCTCGATGCAGTAGACGGCGTTAGGCAGGGCGCCCTTGGGCGCTCGAACCCGGGCCACCTTCTGCACCTGAGTGTCCAGCAGTCCTAAGGAAGGAGGGGAACACGAGCAGAGGGTGTGAGCTCTGGAGGAGTGGGGCCCGGCAGAACGCCTGGCTCGGCGCTGTGTCCGTCTCGTAATCCCTTCCCCCCGCCCGCCCGGACTTCCTGCCCCCCACCTTTGTTCTTGCAGAGCAGCAGGGCAGCCGCCAGGCCGGAGTTGACGATGGGCTCCTCGTCCAGGATGGTGGTGGAGGCCGTGGAGAACTGGGGGAAGGACGCGAGAGGGACAGTGAGCATCCGGGGTACAGGCACAGACTGCGAGACGCACGGGGACACAGCAGAGGGGCGGCACCCCCAAATATGGCTCTGCCACCACAATTCAGGCATTACCTAAAACCCCATATTGTCTACCCGCAGGAGAAAATGGGAACAATAACGAGCCTTCAACGGTCTTTTAAGAGTGGAATGTACATGTAACCTATATACTGTAAATACGCCCGCCAATCGCTGTAGATCGTTTCCATCCAGCTCGGCGAGAGCCGCGCGAGACTTTGGCTCGGGGATGACGACTGCTGGTGCGCCCCGAGCGAAAGACACCCCCAGAAACCAAAACGAGTGGCCGGGCAACGACGGCGGGGCTCACGTCAGGCTGCTTCTGCTCCTCGTCCAGGTTGACCATGCTCCAGCCCACGTTCTCGTCCAGCTCCGAGTCCGAGCCCCTGTCTCCCAGCTGCTCCTCCTCCCGTTCGAAATCCTGCACGGGGGGGGGGGAAGGAAAAGCTGGAATCAAAACGCCCTCTCGCTTGTTTTATCAAGAAACAAACGGGCGCTGTTGCCGAGGTCGGCCACCGGGGCGGCGCCACCACCCGCCACCCACCATGATCTCCTCCTGGTCCTCGCGGTTCCCCGAGAGCCCGTAGGTGGGGATCTCGCCCAGGGCCCGGCAGAACTCGGACGTGGCGTTGAACACGATGTTGTTCTTCCGGTCGGGGTCGTCGTCGTCCCGGGAGGTGCTCGACTCGAGCTTCTTCACGATCTCCACCACCTGGGGGGGGAGGGGGCGAGAATGAGGGGGAGCTTTTAGCCTTCCGGGGACCCCAGAGACCCCCCTCCTCCCTCCTGACCAGTCCCGGGGGGGAACCCCCCTCTCCCACCTTCTCCACGGAGTCCTGCTGGCGCTGCTTCTGTCGCAGGCGCCTCTGCTTCTCCAGCTGCTTCTGCAGCTCCAGCTCGGCCTCATCCTCCTCGATGGCCACGGACTCGGGGGGCTCGAAGTCCTCTGGAGAGGGGGGAGAGGGGGGGACAGGGTGTGAGACAGAGCCGTTTCCATGGAGCTCACGTCCCCACACCCCTACGACTGCAAAGTCACCGTTGTCCTCCCCTTTCCGTTCGGAGAGCAATGATTTTCCCACGCCCGCCAGCCGTGGGACAGCCCAGCGTGACGAGCTGACCTACGGATCCTACAGGTGGGGCTGCACACTGCTGGGGGTGGAGGGGATCCCCATTACCTGTAAAGCGCTTTGAGTGGAGTGTCCAGAAAAGCGCTATATAAGTGTAAGCAATTATTATTACTTGAGGATTCGCCCCTTGGTGGCTTCGCAGAGGTGGCTTACAGGTCAGACCCTTTCACATGAGCTTTCCCGCTGTCCTACAGAAAGGGGGAATTCTCCCTCCTCTATTACTCAGTCGGACGTCTGATCCAAGAAAAAAAAAAAAGAACGTTTCTATTCCCTCCTACCAAGTTTCAAAACGGCGCACTTGCTTCCGCTGGAGTCTCGCACGTGACCTCGCTGCCACCTGCTCTACAGCTGGGCTCATTAATTCCCTAGAAACCAGAGATCAGCCTCTGCAGGAATCATTCTCTGCCAACAGGGATTTGAAGGTGGAAACTAAGGGGATACGGGCGCCCTCTGGTGGCTGCAGGTGGAATCGCCACAGCCGGATGCATTGCCCCTGTTATTATTATTATAATATTATTATTAATTGCTTACACTTATATAGCGCTTTTCTGGACACTCCACTCAAAGCACTTTACAGGTAATGGGGATCCCCTCCACTGTGCAGCCCCACCTGGATGATGCGACGGCAGCCATAGTGCGCCAGAACGCTCCCCACACACCAGCTCTCAGTGGGGAGGAGAGCAGAGTGATGAAGCCAGTTCATAGAGGGGGATTATTAGGAGGCCATGATTGGACAGGATGCCGGGGTTACACCCCTACTCTTCTCGAGAAACACCCTGGGATTTTTAATGACCACAGAGAGTCAGGACCTCGGTTTTACGTCTCATCCGAAGGACGGCACCTGTTTACAGTCTAGTGTCCCCGTCACTATACTGGGGCATCAGGACCCACACAGACCGCAGGGTGAGCGCCCTCTGCTGGCCCCACTAACACCTCTTCCAGCAGCAGCCTCAGCTCTCCCAGGAGTCTCCCCTCCAGGTACTGGCCAGGCTCACACCTGCTGAGCTCCAGTGGGGCTGCCAGTTGTGAGCTGCAATGTTTTGTTGCGCACCTAAGAGCCCGTGACCCCCCCATTTTGGAGGCGAGGGCAGGCTCCTCTCACCACCATGGCACCCCTCGTCTTTTTGGTACGGTGCCGACAGGGACCACAGAGTGAGGGTTCCCCTGGGGGCGCGCTAGCCCCACCCTCGCTCGCTTGGGGAATCCCACCGGGGGCGCTCACCGTCCTCGCTGATGTCCATGTTCGCCACGCGGGTGTCGTCCGACAGCTGCGGCACATCCGGGGCCTTCGGCGCCACGCTCGCCTCCTTCTCCTCTTCCTCCTTCTCCTGGCCTGGCCGTCTCCCGCGCCCCCGCGTCCTGGGAGAGACACGCAGGGAGCGAGGGAATGAGAGAGGACAGGGACGTCCGCACACCGACTCCACACCGGAGCGAAACAAGAGCTTAGCAACGCCAATCATTTCTCCTGCACCTGCCCCATGTGGAGTCGCCCAGTGGCGTTTCTCACCTCTCGGCTCGCAGATAAGAGACCCAGCACAGGGAAGACTCACTGAATCGCATTACTCTCTGATGGAGAGGTGCTACAGTGTAGTGGACCTCAGAACAGCCTGGCAGTGGCGCTGCAGGAGAAGCAGTTAACATGCCGCCCCACTGTGAAGACTCCCGGAGGGTGAGACAGCCCACAGTCACACTGCACAGCCCACAGTCACAGCAGCTGAGCTCAGAGAGAGCCCCGCCGCCCTGTGAAGACTCCCGGAGGGCAAGACAGCCCACAGTCACACTGTACAGCAGCCGAGCTCAGAGAGAGCCCTGCCCCCCTGTGAAGACTCCCCCACAGCCACACTGCACAACCTGCACAAGCAGGAAGAGCTCGAAGACACCTGGGGGACCGACCTGGACCCGTGGTCGCAGCCCTGCGCCTCCTCCCCCAGGGGGAGCAGCTCCTCCACCGTCACGGTCTTCGTGCTCTCCCTCTTCCTGATCTTCTTCACACGCCTCTTCGTCTTCTTGAAGGTCACCTGCGCGGGGCGGAGGGGTCAGGTCAGCGCAGGCGGGGTGCAGGGTCTACGCCCACCCGACTCCCTTCAGCGGGACGGGTCACCCCTCTAACACCCCGCCGGCCCCTCACCATCTCGTCCGGGGTGTAGTACTCCGTGGCGGGCTTCAGGCCCGGCCCGTCCAGGCTGACCGCCTGGCTGCGCAGCGTCTCGCGGATCTCCTGCAGCTCCCTCTCCCAGACGCCCTCGGCCTGGCCGCCCGCCCCGAGCCGGAACCCGCTCTTCTTCTCGCCCTCGATCTCCTCGTCGTACTTCGTCAGCACCGAGCGCGGCTTGAGCTGGGGGGGAGCAAGGAGAGGCTGTACGTCACCGATCAAAATACACCCTTCCCTAAAATAGATCTCATCCCAGAATTCCTGCATCCCGCCCGAACCAGAACAGCTCCCAATCCTACTGGGAGAGGGAGGAGGGAACTCAGCACACCTGCAGCCAGGTGTGTTATCTCCTGTCCCAGCCTGAGGAACAGACAGTGAGCCCGTCTCTCAAT